CCGCCGCTGCCACTGCCAACAATCGTGGTTAACCCGCTTGCAGCGACTTTAAATCGCGAAGTACCACTCGACTTGGCGTCGATCAGCGTGTACAGCTTGGTGGTGGACACTGCGTTCAAGGACAACAGCGTTCCCGTGAAGCCTGTGGAGATTCTGCTGGAAACTTTGAGCGTATCGGTGGCGGCAGCGTTATCCGAGATACTGGCGCCACCGCTCCCTTGGCCTGCAATTGTTGTTAATCCGGTCGCGTCCAGCGTGAAGACGGAAGTGGCTGATGCACCTACAGTTGCTTCGACGAGGTAATGCATGCTAGTGGAAGGAGCTACCGCAGATTTTGAATTGATGTATAATACCCTGGCATTGTTGGAGAATGAAGCAGACGTAGCCTCGATCGCGAGGATGTCTGATACAGCCATAGTCGACGCAATTTTACCACCGCCATCAATCACATTCAGTCCCCCCAACTCAATAGTTCCTCCTCCATTCTTAACGAGCAGGCCTCCGTAGTCGATAGTCGCGCCACCATACCCTACATGCAGTCCACCAGTATCAATTGTAGCCCCTCCCGCCATGACATACAGCCCTCCTTGAGTAATAGTTGTAAGTCCGGAGTTGCTGATAGTAAACAAGGCGATAGCTGTATTGCTACCGACTTTTGTCGTGACCTTCATCATATTATGAGCCACACCAGAAAACGTCTTAATGGCGACAGCATCGTCAGCAAAACTTGTTCCCGTAGCGCTCACAACGAGCGCAGAAGCTGCGGGATCCGAGTTAGAAATCTGTGCTCCTCCTAAACCATTCACGATAAGTCCTCCGTTAGCAATTGTAGTTCTTCCAGAGGCCTCAACAGTGAACGCTGGGACGCTGTTCGCAGTAGCCTCGATCAACACGAAATCAGTTGCCGTCGGAAAGAGACTCGCTCGGGAGGTACTGAGCTTGAGAAGTGAGTTACTAAACGAACCATACGAATTGGTGACGGTAAGACTTGGTCCATTCAAAGTGTGTGAGATGGTTCCTCCTCCCGTCACAACGTACAAACCGCCGGTGTAAATGGTGGTCAGACCGTCCCCTCGAATCTCGACGACGGTGGTTGTATCCCCAGTCATCGCTTCCAGTAGCTTAAAAGCAGTATTCGATGCTCTAGTAGTTCGGACTTTCAATGCTGTCCCTGTAAATGTAGTGTGCGTGTTCGCAATATCCGCGGCCGTTGAAGTCTGGGCGACAGTAGTTATCGTCAAGGAGCCCGTCGACAGCTCGAAATCTCCATTCAGGAGCTTCGTATCGCCCATACCGTCCATGGTTAAAATCGGTAGCGTGGAAGACCCAATCTTCATAAAGTAGAAGTCTGCTTGAGAACCTTTCGCCGTTTTCAGATGTAGCACGGTACCCGTGTACGTGAGTCCCATAGGATTGATGATAAAGCCATCGTTGTCATCGATACTGTCTGGAACGTTAGAAGGTTGATTGCAATCCAGGCCTTTAAAGTCGGCGTAACATACACATTGACCTGTAGTAAAGTCACAAAGACCACGGTTGGAGCAATACACGTGCTCTAAAAGACACAACCAGAATATCGATTAGCTTAAAAAAACACACACAACATTGAAACGGGGAATGCTTACCGACAACGTTAGTGGCCGTGACATCACTGACAGCACAAGTAGGGGAGTTAAGGCTTGTCACTTTGGTCAGATCACATGAGAAGCTTGATAAAGGGGGGTTTCCATCGTGATAGAGCAAATTGTTTTCTCCTCCCAGATGCACCCACTCCTTGAAAGTCACCGTGTAAGTTGCCCCTGCAGTCACCGGATCCACACTTGTGATGCTGCAAGTAGCTGACAACACAGTGCGCATACTCTGAAATGCTTGCGCGCACGCCTGTTCATGAGTTGCATCTGCTACTGCGACGGCACTGAAAACTGCAACATCTCCAAGAAAATGGACTCGAATCGAGCCTGCTAGTGCAAGATTAGTGGTTGCGTCTGCGCCGACTTGAATCTGAATGGTTCGGAATCCTTGGCCAGTAGTGAGCGGGTCATCGTTCTTCGCGCACATAACTGTGAACAACACATAGGATGTCATCGACCGTTGTTGAGATTGTAATACGTTTGCAACTTACTCTGAGAACAGTCTGGTCCAGTGTAGCCCATGTCACACATACAACTCGACATGCTATTCTTCTCCCAATTGGAGTACACTGGTCCGACACCGTCTCCAGCAACGCTGGGCAGTGAGTCCGGGCCATATTGCAGCGCTAACGTTGCTGATGAGTAGCACAATCCGTGACCTGAACAATCTGATGGGCAACGAACTGCACGCCACACAGTACAATTAACGATTAAAATCTAGATAACATTTCAACTCCATAGCGTTTAACGCACGTCGTTGACAGGCAGCTCCTGTATATCCATTGAAGCACGTGCATTCTCCCTACACACAACTCACGTTAACCTTTTAGTCCTATACAAGTCTACGACAGGGGCGCACCTTGGAGTAATCGCACACTCCGCGATTAGAGCACTCGGCCATTGCATGGGCCACGTTGGCCGTCTTCGCCTTATCCGTCCAGGCCACACCAGTGGGGCATTTCCGCATAGAACAGTCGGGTGCCAAGGCCCAGTCGGCGTCACACGTGCATTGACTGCATTCGACAGCGCAGGACAAATGAGTTGAATCCAAGAAAACCAATTTCAATAAATCCGCACTTAGAGGAGCCGCATCGACCGTGACCAGAGCACGAGTTGGCACACGCTGCATCTGAAACTTGTACGGAGGGGAGCACTAGTAGCGCGTATAATACCCAAACGACTCCATGTATCGCCGCCATTATCATCGTCTGAAAGGATCTTTGGATAAAAGTATCCAAGCACTTGATCGACCACCGAAATGTGACTGTTAAGGCAAACGCATAGAAAAGAAATTGTTTTCGACAAAAAAGCAAATGTTTTTTTTACAGAAAAAATGCTTTTTACGAGAGGCACACTGGTTAAGTACCCGTTAAGTGTCGACAGGCGAACTATTTTTTTCGGGGACCCGCATCTTGGTTTCAGTATGCCCCTTAGTAAAAAATCCCATACATCGACGCGGCCGGTTTGTGATGCGTTACTTTGCGATCGACTTAAAGTAGTGCAAAGTAACGCTAGGCATTTTAACCGTTTCTAACACTTAACTGAAACGATGATCTTTTCACCCACATCAAAAATTCAGAATTCCTTTGATGAGCTCGGATCTTTCGCCTGCCACGGCGTACGCGGTCGGCGCCACCGTGGAGGTGGAGGGTCCGCCGAAGCGGCCGAATCAGACCGAGCGTTTGCTCTGCAGCTTGCGTGTCCGGGGCGACTTGTCCCCTCTTCTCTTCGTCGGGTCGTCGGATGGAACATTGCGCAGGTACGTATCTGACGGACGCGCGGGCGTCCTGCGTTGGCAGACGGACTACAAGCGGTTGTTCCACCCATGCTGTGTCTTCCTGGACCGCTGGGGAGTCTTCGTCACGTTGGCTGACAACCGCTTGAAGCTCGTGGACCTGCCGCTACAAAGCGATCCGCAGTTGCTTGACCGAGACGATACCAAGGGTGCCGTGCTCTTTGCCGCCCATGAAGAGGTCAAGACGTTGTGCGTACTGCTTAAAACCAACGCTCTGAAGGTATTTGACTGGACCGTAAATCGAATATTGGATCCACGCGCGCATCACGAACTGCCGCTGTCTCTGGTGCCGGTGCAGCAGCTTGTGGTGCTCAGTGAGAGTCACGTGTTCGTCCAGGGCAAAAAACAATGGGCCGTGCTCAATCTGGACAGTGGTCGGACGTTGAATGTCGGTACAGACGCGATGGAACAGGTTAATAAGGCTCTGGAAGGATCCGTCTGCGTGTGTGACGCATTGGCACTACCCAGTCGCTTCTTAGCACGCCGACGGCAACACGTGATGGACTTGCTACTGTGTGGCAAACACCACGCAGTGATCTTAACAATCGATGAAGAGAACAACGCGGAGGACGATGATGAGGACGTGTATGGAGCTTTTGAAGACAGAAAACTGGACGCCACTGCGGGAAAAGCGCTCGATATGTCGACTAGCCAATTGTGCGTCAAAGTGGAGAGGAAAATGGCCTACAACGCGTCCCCACGTGGCGCTTATTACCATCATCCATTCCTCCTACTAGACCAAACGGAACAGATATCAGTGTACAACTTTGGGTCGCTGCAAATGGTACAGACTATCCCAGTCAAAGCTCCTTACGGCGTCTGTGCTGCTATCAACGTGGCGTCGGCTAATGTGGGAGATTCTTACTCGAACACCTCGCAGTTTAGGGATGATCGGCCTGCGACTTTGTTCACTGTATCGCCGCTGTTTAACGTTCAGACGCATCAAATGCTACCGGTTGCACAGCAAGTCGCTGCGTCGATGGGGAATCGCCGTCTAGAAGATGCGGTGGCGCTCTGCAAGCTTTGTCCAGAGGAGAGTCCGCTGAGTGACGCTGACCAACGGAAACTGTATGCTGACTATGGCTTTGACCTGTTCCGATCTGGTAGCAGACTAGGAGCCATGAACTACTTTTTCGAGAGTGAAATCGACGTGATGGAAGTACTGCTGTTATTCCCCCGCAATCTCCTGCCTCGAAAGGCCAGCGCATTACGCAAGGACAGCAACAATAACAAGAACATGACATTGGAAGGTGACGAGTTAGTGGAGAGCCTGCTCGCTCTCATTGGGTTCCTGCGTCGTAAGCGAACTGCTTATTTGCTTCGCGAAGAGGAATCATCTTCTATCGGGATTTACATGCAGCAAGGTCTTGGTCCTAGTGATGAGAGTGCGTTGGAACTGATTGACACCATGCTGGTCAAGTGTCTCGTCGTGGTGGCTGAAAAAGCAGAGTACGAGGAGAGAGCGAAGCGTGCACTGCTAGATGTGGTCACTGGCCAGAATTGGTGCGAGATCGGCGAGGCGGAGATTTTTCTGCGAGCTCACCGACGTTTCAAGGCTCTTCTGGCATTTTACTCTGCGCGAAAGTTGCACCGTAAGGCCCTTGAGCTCTTGGAGGATCTGGAACGTAGTGCAGCGTCGGCTGCTGAACAAAGCGAAGACACAGGAGACCTGCAGTCATCGCACAACTACATGGTTCTTATTGCACAGTATCTTCGAGTGCTGGGCAGGAAGCATGCTGAACTGGTATTTGAATTCTCGCGACGGGTCTTGTCTGTAAATCCTGCTTTGGGTCTCACGATCTTTACACAGCGTGAAGTTCTTGACTCCAAGAAGGACATCGACCCTGGTGCAGTACTTCAGCATTTAAAGAGTTGCTCTATTGCCTCCAGCCCAGATGTAACGCAACTGGGAAGCGAAGGTGTTGAAGAAAACACATCGAAGTCGATGTTGCCATTGACCAGCAGCCAAATGCTGGCGGTCGAGTATCTTACACAGGTTATTTATGCAGGAACGTGCCAATTAACGCCGCGGTTGCATGACGAAGTGGTGTATCTGCTGCTCGATTCGATCCAAACACAGAACCAACGTCTTACGAGTCGTGTTGGATCCCAACGTGGCATGGCGGGGCTTTTTCGTCGCAAACTGCTCGAATTCCTTGAGTTTCCCGGCGCTGTCTTCCATCCTGAGCGTATGCTGAGTCGTACTCCAACTGAAATGGTGGACGAACACGCTGCGCTACTATCGAAGCTCGGACGTCACCTAGAAGTACTTCAGTTGTACGCTCTGGAGTTGAAGGACGCTGCTCTAGCCGAGGCGTATTGTAACCGCTGCTACGAGTCCAAGGCAGCCGATTCTTCTATCTACTCAACACTGCTGAAGATTTATTTACGCCCGGCGTCAGCGGCCGTTGGCTCACCACCGAAACCTTACCGGTCTTCCAGCTCTGGTTTGCAAAGTGAGGCAGTGAACGCAGCAATCAACGTGTTGAACAAGTATGCGGAGCGTATCGACGTGTCCACTGCTCTAGAGCTCTTACCAGCTGATGTTCCCACGGCACCATTGGCTGGCTTCTTCCGTCGTGTTATTGAGCGCCAGGTCGAGCGTTTCCGCAACGGACAAGTGAAGAAACAACTATCAAAGATGGAGAACTTTAAAGTTCGAGAGCAGCTCTCTACGAAGCGCAAAGGCTCAGTCACAGTGTGGTCGTCTCAGAGCTGTCAATCCTGTGGCAAGAAGCTTGGCGTCGGCACGTTTGTGCGTTTACCCTCTGGAACGCTGTTGCATTACTCCTGCCAACCCGTCCCGTAACTCCAAGATTTTTTTTTTACACTGGAGACAGATCGTATCCTTTGAGCGTCACAGGCTTTTTCCACGAGGACTGGCCGGTAAGTTTATCAAAATAATAGTACTGTTGTGAGTTGGGGTCAAAAACTTTCTGGATGCGGTCTTGTAGAAGACGATGAAGCTCAAGACGTGCGACGGCACAGCGCAAGAACGTGAACAGGACCTGTTTGGCTTCATGAGGCGCTGTGACTGTATGTGAGCGTCGCCTTCTGATGATTTTAGTTTCTTTGATGTCACGACCGTCGCCTACGAGGAGAGCGGGCTTTTCCCACTTTGCGATACCAGTCTTGCGGTTGTAGTAGTAGAAATGCTCAGTGGTGGGGTCGTAAATCTTCTCGTACGCGTCGAACAGCAATTCACGCAGCTCGTCTTTGGCGCGACGGGTTCTCCACACTCGTTGCAAACGTGAAGCAGCTTCGTCGCGTGACATTTGCCGTAAGCGCTGTAGTCTTCGCTTATGTCGCTTGAGACGAGCTCGCTCACTGATGCGTGGCAACTTGCTGACAGCGTACAAGGTTGACGATTGAGGAGCCACAAGCGTGCTTTCTCTTCTTCCAGAGGGAGATACAGTCGAGTCATTGAAGAGATCGAGATCATAGTCGCCAAACACTGCAGGTTTGAACCAGGTTGCTGTGCCGGATACACTGTCGTAGTAGTATGGTTGACCCGACACCGGATCCAGCATTTTACGATATCGACGAGTAATTATCTCGAGTAGCTTCTTCCGCGTTGCGAATCGTCGATACAGCGCTTGAATCGTGCGTGCAGCAGCCTCCTCGTTGTGGAATTTCTCCGGTCTCAACGCGACTGCGACTCGTCGTCGTCCGTGAGTTGGTTCTAGGTGACGTCCAACCTTTGGGCCAAGATCATCGTCAGCATCATTAAGCAGAAGTCGGGGTTTCTCCCACGACGATTCCTTGGTGGCGGCGTTGTAGTAATAGTACCTCCCCGTCGTGGCATCCCAGAGTTTCTTGATACGTGAGCGCAGTATACGACGCATAAACTCACGACCTCGATGACATCGGTACGCACGCTGTACGATCCGCGCAGCTTCGTCACGAGTCATGTTAGCGAACCTGGCTAGCCGCTGGATCTCTATAGGATCGCCCAGATCGTAGCGTTTGCGGAGCAGTGCCGGGGGATCCCACAACTTGGACAGAGGCTCCTTCTTGCTTACCAGTTTTCGCACATGATACACACGTTCTTTCTCCAAATCGAAGTGCTTCTCGTATCGATCCCGCAGCAAGTTCAAGGTCAAACGACGAGCTTGAAGACCTCGCCAAGCAGCTTGTAACTTAATAGCTGCCTCGAGAGGTGTAAGTGGAGGTGGTATCCGCGGTGAAGCATCCGGATCACGGATAGGAACTTCAAACTCTTCACTGATTTCAGTTGGTCGAGTCCATGACTTCTTGCCTTGCCATAGGTTGTAATAGAAGAACTCGTTGTGTGGTATACTGAAGATTCTCTGGTATCTCTGTTCACGAGCACGTTGCAGTACACGTCGAGCTCGTCGCGCACGAAAGAGACACTGAAGCTTGCGTACAGCTTCGTATTCTCCCATACGAACTCCAAGCTTTCTCCCGCCGTGGAGTTGACGTTCATGTGCACAATTACGACACATCCACAAACGCAGTGGAGACGGTTGAAAACCATCGCAACGCCAACATAGTCGACACAAAGGGTGAACAATTGCCTCGATATCAATGTCGTCAATGCGTTTGGCTTCACGAAGTTCTTCCTCTTCTCGCGCGCGCCGGTCAGCGAATGGCTCAAGACGCACAGCAGGCGGGAGTTCGCTGGATGATTTCACGACTTTGGTACCTTTGCTAAACGGAGGCAACGGGTTGGATGCGCACAGCGGTAATGTCGGAACTCTCGACAGATCCAGGCGCGGAATGATGACAGGTTTATCGCGCCAAAGACGCGGCACTTCAGGCCACTCGTAGCTGGCAGAGTCTCGAGAAACCGTGTTGAATACCGTGAAAGTGCGCCCACAAGCGAGTGAGGCAACGCGTCCAAAGCGCTCGCCACCAGATAAGCGCAATTCGGTCGGGACGCCATTAAATGCACGCGTGCTACCCCAGGTGAAGATCCGGTTATCAACTGTTAACGCAGCCGTGTGGTGTGTCCCGCATGCGATATGTGTAGCGAGCACTTCATCGTTGAGTTCTCGCGGTGGTAAACGCACGGGCTGCGGTTCGTAAGTGACTTGAGCTTTCCCAACGCCAAGTTGGCCATATACACCTGTACCCCACGTAAACACTCGACCAGCGCCGCTGCCGACATGGGAAGGTTCTGCTGCGATACACGCACTATGCCACGCTCCACAAGCAATGGAAAGAGTGACAAGGTTTGCGAGCATTCCATTCACTAGAGCAGGTTCGTTGACGTCGCTACTTCGCTTGATATGTCGCCCTAGGCCCAATCGTCCCCCATCACTACATCCCCAGGAGAACACCTTGCCGTCTGAAGTTAAAGCCAACGAGTGCAGCACCCCACAAGCCACCTGGCGAACGGAAACGGAGCGAAGTGCTGGTACCTGGTGCATCACGGCTGGACGAGGAAACGTGGTTGGTGAAGGCTTGGCTGGTCCCTCAGCCGGTTTACTGGAGCTTGATGGGATAATTCCGAGCTGGCCGTGCGAATTGCTGCCCCAGCAGAAAACTACTCCATCGTGGCCTGCAACGTGGTCACAAACAGCAATACTATGGTGTCCTCCTACAGCAGCAGCTACAGCCAGGTAGTTAGAGAGTGTGCCGACCACCGTCGCACGGTTTCGAGCTACCTGCGCTGCGCTCTCGGCTGGAAAACCTAACGCTCCGTGTGCATTTTCGCCCCAGCTGAACAGTTCGCCAGCCTTGGCCAGTGCCATTGCATGGCCTCGTGCTACATACACACGTTCCACATGCTCACTTCGTAGCGTATGTAAGAAGACCGGTGTGGCCAGCCAGTGACTTTCCCTCGGTGTAAGTTCAAACTCATCGCGTCGATGAACGTGACTGCACAGCCCAACCTGTGATGCTAACCCTCCTGTCCGACACAGCCAGGCAGCACCTCGAGCCTCATCTAGCGCGTACACCGCATCCGATTCAGCGCCCTACCAGCACCTCGTTTGTCAGGATTAGAGTATCATTGAGAGTAAAGCTGATGTTGGCGTACCGCTGCGATGCTCGTGATGTGATGACCTCGCAATGGACGGATGTCAACGAGATCCGCGCCAGGATGCGCCTCACTAAAGTAGACGCTTCCTTGAGCTTTGCGACGGTTCTCGAGCGCTCGAGCAGCAGCCTGCGTGGCCATATCGCTGCCCAACACGTGCAAGTCCACCCAGCGCTGTATCCGACATATCAGCAGCACTTTCTTACCTGTAGACGGTAAATTGAGCGTCAATGCTAGAAGCCTCAGTTCCTCGCGCGACATTCTCCTCAAATCCACATTACGCCAATGCTGGCGACTTCGAGCATGGCCAAACGCTTGCAATGATGAGAACGTGAAGCGCACGTTGTGTCGAGAACGTTGGAAGGCCTGACGTAGCAAGTGCGACCTGTATGCGCGTTGAATCATAACAACAGCTTTCTGCTTTCGACGCTTCGATCGACCAGGTTTCCATCCAGACTCGAGCTTGCGCTTTGCCGCTTTAATCTTCTTCTTGTACTCGGCTCGAGCCCTCTGTGTCATGTTCGGTTCCATCATACTGCAAGACGACGGGCACGGACGAGTGTCCTGAAGCAACAGACGCGTCGTTTCATCGATACAAAGTGGTCTGAATTGGACGTACCGGCAGCCGGGCTTATAGCTAGCAGTTCTAGTTCTTTCTTGATCTTTTTCTCGAGCGGAATGTCCGAAGTTCCGCTTAGAAAACGCCAACGATCCAGCGCTGGTACTTGTCGTACCAGCGTGTACGCCAGTTGTCCAGAGACGCGTCGATAAGCTCGTGCACGAAGTCCTCGCAAGAGTTAATGTCCAAATCTGGCTGGAACCGAGCGGCAAGACGTTAGACTGTGCCCTTGGGGTCTCCAGCAAAACACGGTAAGTGTTCGTTACCGTGCAACATCATCTCCACGAGTAACACGAATCGGTGGCGATACTTCCGAGCCACAAGGAACGACCGCACACAAAGAGATCGGAACCGTCGGAAGTGCGCAGAACGAGGACCGCCCATGAGCTCCACAAAATCGGCCGTGAGCTTGAATGGTGCCTGCTCGAAGGCCATGTTGCCCGGGTTGTTGGACAGGATAAAGCCGAAGTCGATATGGATAATGTGGCCCTCAGCATCCAGCAGAATGTTGCCGTTGTGGCGGTCCTTAATCTGAAGAAGATAACACACGATCGCGTACCCAGCCATGCTGCTTACGAAGTTGGCTCGGGCCTTACGGAACTCGGGCGTGCTCGGATCACCGAAATGTCTGGTAAAAAAGTCCAATAGCGTCGTGAACTCACGGTCGTTGCGCTTCAACGAATCGATAGAGATCGTGTCCGAGATAGCCTCCACGAGTCCGGAGGTGGCGGAGATGGCGATCACATCGTACGGCCGGATGAAGACGGGTACTTTAAATTCTTCAAACACCTTGGCAAACTGATGAATCAATTGCAAAGCCAACTGTTCCTGACGGAGATCATCGTCGCTTTTAACGATCACAGGCAGCAATCTCCAGCCCGGTAGTTTTCCGTACGGAGATGTCGCTTGAATTCGGCGTTCCTTGTCGGCCCAACGCTCCTTAAATATGACGCAGGGTGGCTCGCCAGATTGGTTACGGGATTCCAAAGAGGGATCACTGGTCTCAGCTTCTTCCTCCTCGAGCTTCGAGTCACGCTCCGACAAGTCCTGCAAGAACCGATCAGTACTGTCAAATCGCGCAAGGTGATGCGGAGAACTCGCTGAAGTCTCGGACTGAGGCGACATCACCGTATCCGACTTGGGTGACCACGGGCCGCTCGCACTGCTAGCAGAATCAATGTCATCGACGTCTGTCGTGACCGGTACGATGGACGCAGGGACCGTCTGGGCCGAAAGCGTAGGTCGAAGCCCCGATGCACTTGTGTCGACTGTCAAGCCTCGCTTAGGGAACGCTCCACTCTTAAAAAAAGGCTGGCTCTGACTTCTTTCTGGCAACTCACGGAATCGCTTGGGTGTGTCCTCACCACATTCGTCGTCACCCTTACTCAGTAAAGCCACACTCTTGGGGTCGAGATTCTTCCCGCCTGGAGTTTTACCGACCAGCGAGTCAATCAGGCCGTGCAGCAGCTCTGTCGGCTGCACCATTTTATTCGAGATGTGGTGTGAGAATGAGCGAAGTCTTGTTGGGCTGCTAGGCGTGCGTGATTCACTCCAGAACCCCAGTTTGGCAGCATCAGGGGACATCAATGGTGTGCGCTCAGCAGGTGTGGATGCTGTTGTCAGGTCTTGAGTACTAGCAGAATCCCACAAACTGAGTGTGAAGCGTCTGCCGTTGAACACGCTGTTGCTGCGCCGCTTGAGCCGCTCCTCTTGAGGCGATGGGTAGTCAACAACCTCGGCACAAAGCAAAAACGGCACTCGTTCTCGAGTTGAGAACGTAAAGCTCTCGTCAACGTGGACGTGCTTCAGTCGGTGATACGAGTTCCCTACGGGAAGATACAGTGAGTTGTTAGGCAAGTACTGAGCTTCCAAGTCTTGCAGCCACGTGCGAAGCTGCCACAATAAAGCGTAGCAAACACCGAGTAAGAAAATCGAAAAATGGGATAAAACACACACGACGTACCATATCATTGCGGCGGTTGTACGCCACAGCGCGCAAATTCGACGAGATGTTCGCCAGTGACCCCAAAAACGCGGTCTCGAGCTCAAAAGGCTCCACACCAGTGGCGACTGGCGCCCTAGCAATCGCAGACCTCGCCTGTCCTCGCTCCAGGTCGTTATTCTCCTGAAAAGTATCGTAGTGATCATCCTGAGAGCCTGGCAACAATGCTTCGACTTCCTGTGCACTGGCTGATACCTCAGATCCACGATTCGCTCGAAGCTGCTGAGACTGGTGCTCCGAGTTAACCGGGCTTGGCGGACATGCAACAACCATCGCTGGTGCCACGCCCCGCTCTGATACGTCATCAATTAGCATCTGTACACGCTGGCAGTCAGCCTCCGTAGCAAACGCTGGGTTATGCAGACAGTATGACTGCAAATACCACAACATCTTGTGCGCGAATACATGGGACCTATGTAACACAAAATAAAGCGCCAATATCTGCGTCAGAATGCTCGTCTCCCGCTTCTAGCATCTGCAAAACACCCACTTACACGCTGCATTTACGCAGTAGCATCGCACATAACTGTGGTGAGCGTGCAAATGCATCCAGCAGCAAGAAGCTGCACAGTTGCGGCAAATAGAACTCGAACTCGGCTTCATCTCGGTCTGAAGACACCAAAAGTCGGTCCACGGCTCCTTCTTGGTGCGCGTAGAGCCTCACCATGGCCTCGAACGTGGGATCTTTCGGTTTACGCCTGCCTGCTAGCTGCTTGCCCAGCGTGGCCCATTTGGATCTCCACATGGCGCGTGGCGTCTCGCCCATCACGTCTCGTAGTAGATTATCGTCAGCCAGACGCCCCCGACTCTTATTAAGTTGCAGGATGTAGCCGAGCTGCAGCAACGTACTGAAGATGGCCATGACGCCCAGTACAGCCACGTAGAAGCCGCCCCACGGTACGCGGCGGTACTTGGAGAAGGTGTCAATTTGCCGGCCATCTAGATACAATAGAGGCTGTAGCGAGCCGAGACAGCAGCCAGCTACCTCTATGAGTGAAACTACGAACACGAAGCAACGGGTGGACGGTACGCGCTTATTGCGACGCCGGATGTACACGAAGAAGAGCAAACGCAGCAGTGATAACAGAGCTTGGAGCGCTAGCGATTGACGGAACTGCAGCGGTGAGTGAAGGTCGCGCGCGAGCAGCTCGTGGCCGCCGGGAGATGCCAGTGGCACCAGGAAGTACCAGCCCAGCACCGACGTCTCCACAGAGAGCGCTAGCAGGTTGAAGACGCCCATGATGCGGGTCCGACGAGTATCAGAGTGATTGATCTCGGATGCGGAAGAGAACTGAGTTGAAGTCTTGATGATTGATTGGCTAAAATTTAACATTTTCACCAATCGAATGCTGATCTGAGACCATGACGTCCATCAAGCCATGAAACACTCACTACGCAGTGGGTCTATGTGGATGATATCTATATGCTTGACACCTTTTACTGCTTGGACATCACCTGCTCATGGAGACTGCTACACTAGAAGCACTAATGGACACGGCGAGCTGCTGCATTCAGTATGGGCGTGAACGGCGGTCAGGTCGGTCTCGGAAATCACGGTCTCCGCCTCCTCCGTATCGACTGTACCCGCCACCTCGGCCACCACCATATCTATCGCCTCCTCCATAGCGTCCACCGAAGCCGCCACGACGACCACCTCCTCCACCACCTCCGCCGTGCCAGCCTCCTACGGGAGGTTCTGGCTTACCGGCGAGCTCCACCTTGATGGTCTTGCCGCGGATATCCGCTCCTGTGCAACAGACCAGCAATATACACGTCAGCCTATACATGACAATAAATCTAGTAGAATCTGCAATTGCGGTGACGTACCATTGAAGAATTCTGGCGCCGTGCGGGCTGCGTTCGAGTCCTCGTACGTAAGCACGGCGTCGCCCTTAGGCTGGCCGTCAGCGTCCGTGTAAATCTTGATCTTAAACGGCCACTGGTCCTTGTACCCACGCTTCTGCTTCTCACGGGCGACGACACCGATAGCGCCGAACATTTCTTGAAGCTCATCGCTCGTGATGTCCGTGGGCAGGTTCGAGATGTAGATTCTAGCCCACGTGGGGTCGGCTAGTGCCTCCTTCGCAGGGTCCCAAGCTCCCGTCGCCTTGGGTTGACTCTCTTCTTGCTCTGAGGTTCCAGCTGTCGAGTCTCCGTCCCGCTCACGGTCTCGGTTGCTAATGGGCTCACTGCGGCGTGGTGCGTCCCTGTCCGAACGTCCACGGTCTCGAGATCTGTCACGTCCGCCATCCCGCCCATCACGCCGGTAGGAGTCTCGCTCACGTGGTCGGTCACGAGAGCGGTCTCGACTGCGGTCGCCGCCGTATCTGCTGGACGAGGTGCCGCCCCGGCGGTCATCACGCTCGCGATAGCTCATAGCCGCTGTCTAATATATCTGCTTGGGCAGACGAATGCGGGAATTGTGTGAAGATTGTGTGGACCACACATAATGGTATGGTATTTTGATGCATTAGGGATCGGGTCGATTACGACGCCAAAATATCTACCAATGCTGACGCTGTAATCACATATTTTCAGCCAATAGGTGTCCTCCATTCGAGCCAGACTGGATACTGGGAAGCCATGGGCTTCTGATGCGTAGGGACAATCACAACGGCGAAACCCCCGTCGCCTATTGTTAGCGGCATCGCATCGAAGAGGAAGCCGGCGCTGCCCCGAGACGCCGGAGCTGCGCCATAGGAGGAAGGCAGCTGCAACGCAAGCAGACCCTGGAGCGAGACATCGCCACCATGGACGAGAAGTCAAGGAAACCCGAGGGTGCGTCGCTGCAAAAGCCTCGTTCCCCTTCTCCACACTCTCATTAACCTTGTTACCCTGATTTAATTCGTGCTAGACACGCCCTTCAAGCAGCAGAAGCTTAAGGCCTGGCAACCGATCCTCACGCCTAACTGGGTCATCGGCACCTTCGCCGTCGTGGGCCTGATCTTCATCCCCATCGGCATCGTGCTTCACACCGAGTCGGACAATGTACGCCTCTGCCGTTCTACATATCATTATCGCAGATAATGTGGCTTGAATACTTACATTTATTGCTGCAGGTGGTAGAATATTCGATTCAATATGACGGAGACGACATGACGTCGTCCTCTAACATCGTGGACCAGGGAAGCGGTTGCTATCTGAGTGATGAGAGCGAGGGCGACTCATTCGACGTGGAGGAACATGGATGTAGAATCACGTTTAAGATCGAGAAGGAGATGAAGGCGCCCGTGTACTTGTACTACCAGCTAGACAACTTCTACCAGAACCACCGTCGCTACGTGCAGAGCCGTAGTGACGCACAGCTTCGCGGAGACGCCACGGCCAGTACCAGCGACTGCTCACCGCTGACCACGACCGGTACGGGCATGTACAAGTACAACTCGACCGCAGAGACGGCCATTGGTAACAATGAGACCGACTACACGCTGATGCCGTGCGGTCTGATTGCCAACAGTCTGTTCAACGACATTTTCTGGGTCAACAAGCTCGTGACCAACGGCAGAACGTACTACCAGAACGACACGTACGAAGGCAAGACGCTTGTGAACCTCGTGGACCAGACCGGTATCGCCTGGAAGTCGGATGTGGAGACCAAGTTCAAGAACATCGACCTGAATGATCTTTCGGACGCGGACAACACGATGCTACTCTGGCAGAACCCGCGTTACCGCTACATTATCCCCATGTACGAGGGACAGGAGCCCCAAACGAACAAGACGGCATGGACGACGAATGCCCCTGCCTACGGTGTACAGGACGAGCACTTTATTGTGTGGATGCGTACAGCTGGTCTGCCTAGTTTCCGCAAGCTTTACGGTCGCATTGACACAGATCTGGCAGAGGGCACGGAGCTCGAATTCCTCGTCTCCAGCAGTGAGTTTTTGTGTGTATTTTGCTGTGTTCCAGACAGTATTTAACGATTATTTTGTGTGTTGTTTGGTAGACTTTGTGGTGAGCACGTTTGAGGGCAAGAAGTCGATCGTAATCTCGACGACGTCATGGTTCGGTGGCCGGAACCCGTTCCTCGGCATCGCGTACATCATCGTGGGTGCGCTCTGCATGGTGCTGGCCATCCTATTCTTCGCTAAGCACAAGCTGAGTCCACGCAAGCTGGGCGACACGCGATACCTGGTGTGGAAGAACAACCATTAAACAGACAGGTCAGCAAAGTGTCCAGGCATAGCGACGACGAGCCTATTGAGAGCATTTTAGCGAGCTGACAGCATCAAGAAAGAACCCACCAAGCTCGTCGTCGTTGGCATTGTATTCTTTTTTTTTCTTTACTTTCTAGTCATTTAAGCTGGATGGCATTCAGACGAAATTCTACAAGTTCTCTTTTGAGGATGCAGGAATGATAATTGAGGTCGCTTATGCTTTATCAATGTCTTGTCAATCATAAAAATATCATATCTTCCGAATCGTCACATCAGGCCGCTTTAATATGCTTGCGAGTCGTTATGAACTGCTGGAGAAGATCGGGAATGGAGCCTTTGGGGAGGTGCATCGCGCTAAAGACTTGGAGACGGGCGAGATCCGAGCCATCAAGCGATTAAGAGTGAGTGATGACGGTCAGCTTTCTGTCGTACCGGCAGCACAGTTCCAGGAGATCGAGGCCATGCGCCAACTCCAGCATCCCAATGTACGAATAATGATATTTCGTACGGCATCTTGATTTAGCTAACGACTTTATCGGTGTTAGATCGTCAAGCTGCTGGATGTGGTGCCTGATGGTAGCTACATTGCTCTAGTGCTCGAGTATATGCCTACTGACCTCCTTAGAGCAGTGCGAAATCGAAAAGAACCGCTGCATCCTACTGATGTCCGTGGTCTTCTGCGAATGCTGCTGCATGGGGTTGCTTGTTGCCATGAGCACAATATAATACACCGAGACATAAAGCCGGGGAACTTGCTCTTAAGTGCTGATGGAGTGCTCAAACTCAGCGATTTCGGTCTAGCCACGGTTTTCACGGGACAGCAAGGACGTTCGTATTCTCATCAAGTGGCTACCCGCTGGTATCGTGCACCTGAGTTGCTGTTCGGTTCGCGGCATTATGAAACAGCCGTGGATATGTGGGCTGTGGGCACAGTATTCGCCGAGTTACTCCACCCCACCCCGTTGTTTGCCGGACAGAACGACCTTGACCAGGTCTTCCGAGTTATTCAAGTGCTAGGCGACATCGAGCAGCAGTGGCCAGGTGTGAGAGAGCTTCCAGACTTTGACAAAGTGTCGTTCCCTGTATACGAACCCATGCCGCTTAGCAAGCTCTTTCCTGATGCTGAAGCTTCTGCTGTGGATTTGTTGTCCAAACTGCTCGTGCTCGATCCGAACAAAAGACTCTCAGCTCGAAAGGTGACAAGAAACGAAGATATTGACAAAGTCCTTCTTTCTAACATCGCTCTCGGTGTGGCAGGCTCTTGTGCACGACTTCTTCTTTGAAGGACCCGTGCGTTCATGCTTCTCGTTCGAACGCATACCAGTCACGAAGACTCAAAGAAGCGACAAGGATACTCAAGAGTCTGACGATTTCCTTTCTTCGCTGGGTAAACCGCTGCGATTGACATAGCACGCATCACAAGCTACTATTGATTTTCACGCAACGGTTATGCGTCGCTACAATTCGTTTTACTGTGGACCGGAGCAATTTTATTGACTGGTGTACTGTGTGGCCTCTGTGAATCGCTTCATCCACGTTTCACGGCCAACACTAGCAGGTGCTCGAAAGCGGAGTTTTTGATGACCCGCTTCAGGAGGGATCAGCTTGATCTTAAGTTCATCGGTACGGCTCCGCACAACACTGTAGCCGCTGATGCTAATTGGGCGTTCGAAAGGAGGTCCACGCTCCTCATACGCACTCTTTGACTTGTAGCACGTGAGCGTTGCGTGCTTGAGTACATAGAAGTATTGACGCCATCGCGAAGAGAAAACGTGACCCTTCTCGTATCGCTCCAGGTACCCAGACACCACACGACCCTTGTCTGCTACCTTGTCCACTGTGTCAATCGTGCGTCTCGTAGCCTGCATGGTGCTCTGATAAAGCGCCTGTTGCTCGGCTAATGCGTTTGCGATCTGGGTCTCAGTGCTGCGAATTGCACCCTGAAGCGAGCTCACTTGCTCTGCATGCGTCTGCTCGATCTGAGCAACAGCCTCATGTTCTTGGCGGCCCCACTCCGCGTTTGCCTTTGTGATGTGCTTAACTTGACGCTCCTTATCCTCAAGTGAGTCCTCCAATTCCGCAATACGACGTTCTTTTTCCTCACAGGCTGCCGAAAAGCGGTCATATTCTTGCTGCGTCAAGTACTCCAGTTGGCTGCGGACAGGCCCACTCAAAAAGCCTGCAAGAACAGTAGCAGCCTGAGGGCCACGCGCTACGAAGTTGTACTGCGACACCATCGCCTCGAGGTTGTTCTTGTACGTCAGCAGCTCCAACGGCACTCGTGTCAGCGCGACGGGGGCATTTCCACTCTTCTTGTCAACGAGCATGATCGAAGAAACAGCACGACCTCGTAGTTGTTGCTGCTGCTGAGCCTCCGTATCCGTCTCGTTCTTGCTGAGCACAACTGAGTGGAGATAACGAAGCAACTCGCCACAAAAGATAGCCGAGGATACTTCATTCGCGCGTTCGAAACGCCTTCGCACGCGCCCTAATTTCGCCCACAAGTTCTTCCTTCCAACATGGAAGTCCAGTGAGCAGGCAAGCTCTGGGTTTGAAGGTGACGGACCACGCAGATTCACGAGGAATGGTTTCAATAACGCATTCACTTCTTCCAAACCTTCTGCGTACACTGTGTCCAGCACTGCTGTATTAACGGGCATCGCCTCACTGGGTGTGTTTAGGTATTCCATGGGAACCGTGTAGCGCGTGATGCTAGCGGTACATCGTGCTAGAAGTAGATCAGGTGCCTGTGTCGCGTTAGATTCTCCATGTAATTCAGCCTCTGCAGCCTCAGCATCCTCTAGGATACCACCAAGTCCTCCATTGTCCCCTTGAGTGGTTACTTGCCCTCCACCTCTAATCGAGGTACTCCACCGGTTCGTAGGGAAGCGTGAGAGTTGTTTGCTAAGAGCACGGCCAGCTCTGTTCTTCAAGAAGCTGAACAGCCCTGTGTTCAGTGGTGCTGGAGTCGTAGATGTGATCGCACTGTTTCCTCCTTCATCATCAGCCGCTTGCTGCTTCTTTAAATTACCAAACTCGTCGAAAACCGAGTAATCTCCCTGTCCAGCGTCCACGACAGCCGAGTGCTGGTTGCTCTGCGACTGATTAGCCTTCAGTTTCCGCTCTGTAACATCCACTAGATACTCTGCCGTGATAGGAGCTCGCTCGTATACTGCCAGTCGCGCGTGCATCAGGTCGCAGTACGACTTGAAGGCCCGTTGTACTAGGTCCTGCCAATGGGCAGCGAGTACGTTCGTCACAACACGTTGTAGCACCACTGGAGCTCCGTCTGGAGTTGCCATTGCATGTGTCAATGATCTCATTAGTCGCACCAAAAGTGATCCGTTCAAATAACGACCGAATAAGGATTTGCACTCCAATCGGTCGGCCACGTGCGTCAGCAGCTTAGGTGATGTGTGCGGCTCTTCACGGGCCTGGAACGAGTTGGATTTAAGTACCACGCAGTCTCTCGTGGGGACCAAAGCACTCAGCAGCAGTTGGGCGTCTGTGGATCCCGAGGCCAGCTGCTGCTCGAAGTAGGTTGAGGCTGAGTCGCACCCATTCATGTCCTTGATCTTGAGATCCACTGCTCCCCACGTAAAGCGCGGTGTCAGCTCCTTAAGCAGCGCCGCATTCCTGTCTGCATCAACTGCTGTTTCACCTACTTGTAGCTGAGCAAAGGTCGATAGGAATGGCAGCGCGGTCTGGAAACTGGAGTTGGATATGGGCCCGGTCTTGGCCACTACGACGTGTGAGCTCAGTACAAGCAGCAGTGAGCCCCAGAATGGTTCTTCAACTAGCGATACGCCGCGCAGCACCAGTAGCAGCATACTGGCGTCCTGTTCTGGCACCGACACAGCGCTGGAGCTCAGGAACAGGCCACGCTCGGTTGAAGCGCCGTCCTTCTCGTCCTCGGGCACGTAGAGCACGCCCACGAGCGCTACTTTCCGCGACGAAATCTTCGTTCCATGGAGAACGTCCACGCCGACATCGTGGAGGCGGAGGTCGCGGCCATCGGATCCCTCGGAGATCGTACACAGCGGCACCAGGTTTGTACCGCTCAACGACGCCGCCATTAGAATTGACCCGTCGTGAAGTGAAGTGCAAACACTGGCGGATTTTATCCAAATCGGCGCCTCAACAGTAACGGCACCGGTAAGCCGATATATTTGGCAAAAGTACCGAGAGCCGGTAAGCCGGTATTACTGACACTTTGCCAACAGTAGCATCACCGGTAAACCGGTATTCTTGACAAAACTCTCGAGAATACCGGCTTACCGGTGCTACCACTGTTGTTAGGTATTCGGCAAAAATGCTGAGGAAAAATTAGGCATTTTCCGGTAAAACAAGATTTACTTCTCTGTCCCACCAATTCATTGACATTTTGGTTTTTTGTGTCCTACACCAAATTGTTTAATGCATTCTATTGGGCAAAATCATAAGGGGTAGGGCTTAAGTAAATGACTGGCGCTTGGAGCTAATTCTTGTTCACGGAAGTAAAGCAGCATAAAAAAAGGAAGTGGCTAGGATCACCAAGTTTTTGTCCACAAAAAGTGCAAATACCGATCACTACCCTATCCGCGGTATTGTCAGTACTTCGGTATTTCAAAAATCAATTTTTTGGAACAGCCGAGCGTCCAGCGCCGCTCATTCTTCTGGCGCTCCCGCAAAGCAGGCTTCGGGTAGCAGTTAGTGTCGCCCCGCTGTCTCGCTGGACTACACTACGCCCTCACGCCTCCCCAGTCCCCGCCCCGGTCTATCGTGCTGCTGGTTCCACACTACAGAACCCCGAACATACACGTGTCTTTCAGCTGCCATGTCGTCCACGTCTTCTCCTGTGCCGCCCGAAACGACCACCAACGCAGTTTCTGGGGCTAGAACGTCACTTGAGATTGCATTACCTACCTTCGAGGGAGAATTGCATCGTGGGAAGAGTTTGGAAAGGCGTTTGACCGGTAAGATATTAGCTTATAATATTTTTTACCACACTTTTTAACTAAAATGCATTCTGTAGCTACCAAAAAGAGACTTTTCAAATATACCGACTCAGGACGAGTAATTCTGTGCGTGACCGGATCGTCAAACTCAAAAGCGTGCTGCTCGTATAGGAAAAGAACCGGATTTGTACGACGAAACTCTCAAGTAATATGCAAGAACGTTTATCTGTACACATGGGTGGGATTTCAAGCCGCGGGGCAGAGGTGACCGCACAAACCATACTGTCCGTGGTTGCAAGGCACGATTGAATGCCGTGCTGAACCGTGACAAAGGAGTCTACACTGTTCGAATCTCGAAGCACCAGTCGACTCATAATCACAGCGTGGGCCCCGAAGAGTATACCTGCTATGCGGAGACACGCAAAATCGAATCACCAGGGATCAAGCGTGTTGCCAAGACAATGTGGCAAGGTAAAAGAAACATACTTTACTGATATTTTGTGTACTGAGGTATCTTCTAACTCTTAAAATCTTTGTAGGTGGTTCGAAACGCAAAAAATCTTGCGCTACCTGAAAGAAGTGTCTGGCAAGCCGCTTCAACAGAAGGATGCGGAGAACATGATCGCTGAGATGCGTCACGTTCGAGTGTCCCAGTTGTTGCAGGACTTTGGAGAGGGACCGGGGAACGCAGTGAGAATTTTTCGCGATCCTGCAACAAGTCTCACAAGCTGTATCACCTTCCAGACCGCGCACATGAGGAGGATGGAGAGGAAGTTTCCAGAGGCTCTATGCATTGATGCTACGCATGGAACTAATTGCAACAGGTGCGAGACCGATGAAGACCGATGATATCTATCTATAGTTCAATTTTTAGTGTTAAGATTACCGATGTTTGGTGATATTATCACAAAAAATGAATACTTGGTTATATCTTCACCATTTACTAACTAATTTTTTTTCGTGATGCTAACAGATACCGTCTCTTCAGTTTTATGGTTACCGATAAGTTTGGGAGTGGTGCATTTGTGCAGCACGCTTTGATCGACGGAGAAACAAAGTTGAACATGAAGTGTGCGCTCAAAGCATTTAAGGAGAACAACACAGCATGGAGAGATGTCAAAGTGGTTATTGTGGACAAAGATTTCACGGAGATCGACGTACTAGCGGAAGAGCTGCCGGATGCTAATGTGATTCTTTGTCACTTCCACGTCATTGACTACTTACATCGGGAAACCAGCAAGAGGATCTACGGGTTCACGTCGTTTGAAAAACCGCATGTGAAAAATTTAATTACACTTATGGTACGGACAAATGACGAACGTGAATTCGACCACTACTTGCAGGAATCCAAGCCCTTTGCAAAGAGAAACCTGCGTTCTACGACTACCTGACATCAAACTGGTTGAACTGCAAGTCCTTGTGGTGTTCATTTCTGCGTTTCAAGCATTTTTTCTACGTATTTGATCGCGTAGTGGCAGACGCAGACATCCACCAATAATGCGTGAATATATGTTGAGTGTAAGGAGAGAGTTTATTACGAGAAGATGACAACAATACCAGTGCTTCCAATGCTGGTGCTGTGGTGCAGTACATGTATACGCTAATAGCAAGAGATCTGCATTGAGTGTACCACGCAATTTTAAACATTTTTCTCTAAATACCGCATCAATACCGGTAGCGACCCCCACCATATGATCCTCCGTTTTGTCCATTCTTTAACGAAAAACTTGGTGACAGTAGGGAGAGCCTAAAAAAATCGAACTCGCCAACATGCCTCGCACCACCGGAGCTCTCGATATCAAGCCTGAAATTCGCGTAGCGGTGGCGATCTTCCTTACTACGCTAAGTAAAGAAGGTCGTCTCTCTACGGCACCATCACTCGTGCCAAGAAAGTTTTTCGACTAAGTAGAGCCTCTATCAGAGGCATCTGGGATCGTCGCAGTGATCCATCGGCAATGGTGCTACCCCGAAAGCCGTACCCGCGTCGGCCTACTCGCCTCAGCCCCAAAGAGGTCGGCGAGCGCGTTGCGGCCGTCCCACTGTGTCAGCGGCAGACGCTGCGAGCGCTTGAAGCCGCGTCCGGCATTCCTCGATCCACGTTGCATCGATACCTGAAGGCGAACACACTGCGACGTTTCATTTCGAGGGTTAAGCCGTCGCTGACAGCTACCCACAAGCTACAGCGGCTGACATGGGCTCTGGCCCAAGTACATCGCCCCATTGGTAAGTGTTTTTATTTTTTTAATTAAATTTAATTATATTTCACTAATATTTAATTATTGATATTTAATTTAGGTTGTTGTTTGTACCGGTTTGATGCAATGTACAATGTAGTACATATTGATGAGAAGTGGTTCAACATGTACAAGGCCTCCTCTCGTTACTACCTGACAGCAGATGAGGAATTGCCATACCGAACATGTCCGAACAAAAGGTACATAGGCAAGGTGATGTTTTTAGCTGCCGTGGCTAGACCACGCTACGATTTTTCGAGAAAAACACTTTTTGATGGCAAAATTGGAATTTGGCCTATTGTCGAGCGCGCTAGTGCCAAAAGAACATCCAAGAATCGTGCCGCCGGGACTCCAATTACGAAAAACATCAACATGTCGAGAGAAGTATACGTGCGGATGCTTCGAGAAAAAGTATTTCCGGCAATTCGACAAAAATGGCCAGGTAATTTTTTATATTTTTTTAATATTGATGTGCTAAACATTTTGATTTTTTTATTTTGTGTAAGTAGGTTCGAGAAAAGCTATTATCCGGGTTCAGCAAGACAACGCTGGCCCCCATGTCGACGAGGACCACGGCGAGGTTGTTGCTGCCTGAACAGAAGGTGGTTGGAACATTCAAATGATGTGCCAACCACCTCGCTCGCCCGACTGCAACATCTTGGATTTGGGAATTTTCAGCGCGATTCAGTCCATACAGTATCGGCAACCTACAAACCAGATCGATGGACTGATATCAGCAGTTGATACTGCTTTTAATAATGTAAAAACTGAAACTATCGAAAGATGCTTTCTCACTTTGCAAAAAGTGCTGGAATGCATCATTATTCACGAGGGTGGCAACGAGTTTAAGCTCCCACGAGTGCGCAAAACCTTTGCGTCAAGGAAAGTCATACCGATTTCGATTTCTACAAGTATTGAAAATGTAGAAAATGGCTACAAATCAATTGACAGCCCAAATTCTAAATCAATAGTGGTATTAATTTTGTTTTTCATAAATTCATGCTTTTAGTCAGTAAATCCGGACGTAATTATGTGCTGATGATTGATTGGAAGAAAATCATCTGTGATTTGACGCATATCAGCATAACGGTCTCAAAAAACCTCAATTAAATAGAGTCCAATAACCAGTGTTATATGAGCCTTCAATACAATCCCTGCTACATACGGTACTAGCAAATCAGACTGAACGTTTGAGAAAAATCTGAATAATAATCGCTAATTTTTCGCAGAATTACGAAAAAAAACCTTTCTCCTCCCTAAAATGAACTCACAAATGCTTCGTTATTTGCTAGTGCAGTGTTGTTATCAAATTAAATAAAATACTACAAGAATCTCCGTGTCACACTCGATTCAGAGATACTGTATTTTTCTCTATCCTGTACCTGAGTGCTGCATTAACTTCCTTTATGTG